TGTAAAAGATTTAGGATAAATATTAGCAGCACTCCTGGTTTTGTCTGTTTACACTTGATGAAAGCATTAAAAAACCCAGATAAATAAATAAATGGCGTCCTGTGCCAAAGTCTTGAGGCACCAACAGTTTGCTTCCAATGAACCAGACAAATTTGAATCCAAATGATAAATTGGTGGTTCAACGTTTCCGTGTGTACAGAGGAGGTCAGGACAGACGTACGGCTCTGAATGTCTGCGCCGTGCTTGGATAAACTACTTCTGTGTTCATGAAGCATGAACACAGAAGTACTGGCAGACTTTGCTCCACCATGCAGCACCACCAAAGTGTCTGACTGGCAACAGCTTAATGTTTTAGGATGGCAGTGGCGTCTAAAACACAGACGATACAGTGTTAAGGGCTGGCTGTAGCTCAGGTGGCAGAGCAGGTCAGCCACTAATCAGAAGGTCGGTGGTTCGATCCTTCGGACAAGATACCCCATGTTTGCCTACTGGTGGTGGTCAGAGGGCCCGGTGGTGCCAGTGTCCGGCAGCCTCACCTCTGTCAGTGCGCCCCAGGGCAGCTGTGGCTACAACGTAGCTTGCCATTGCCCCAGTGTGTGAATGGGTGAATGACTGAATGTAGTGTAAAGTGCTTTGGGGTCCTTAGGGACTGAGTAAAGCGCTATACAAATGCAGGCCATTTACCATTAAGTGTATGTGGATAGAAAAACACACAGTCCAACTCATCTTGACAGAATGAAACGAAAGAAGAGCTTTGGATGTGTTTGTAGCAGCCTGGAGAACTGCTGCTGACGGCCGCTTAGACAAAGCTTCATATTTGTTGAAGAGATTTCAGGCTAAAGTGTTAAAGAGCAAAGGATGAGTTCATTAAAAGAGTCGAGTTGCCTGATGTATCCCATGTGTGTTTGCACATGGTCCAATAACTCACTACACCTGTTTGCCATTTTCCTCGCCGGATCTAAAGAAACGAAGGCGTGCTTTGAGACTGCTGCACAGTACTGAGCATGTTTTCCTCGCCTGTCGTCGACTCGTGGTCCTAACTTGTGTTTTTTCCGGCCTTTTGTTGTTTCCCCCAGGTCTCCAATTGAAAATCAACACGGCACTGTTTCCTGCACTCTTCCACCCTGTCGCCAGGCTCGTCCTCCTTTATTTTGGCAGGAACAGACTGGCTACTGTAGGCTGCAATAGAAACATAACAAGGACTACCAAGGCTGACGGAAAATCGCCAAGCAAGTGCCAACTGAAAAAAAGAAAACAAGAAAAAAACCCAGAAGATGATAAAAGATTTTTCAAGGCTATGAACTGCTTCAACATTCAGGAAGATATTGTAAAGACATGTATATAGCACAGACTAAACCGGATAATATATACGCTCCCTTTCCATCCATCCAGACATTTAGACCAAATGAAATAGCGCTGGTTCATTTCTGTTTGTCCATTTTCCTTCTCTCAGCCCGGCATGGATTAGTTCTCTTTAGATTGTTTTCATAGGAGCCGTTCACACGAATGCTTTTGGAGGAATGTCACCTGTGAAGAGCTCGTTCAGTCCAAGCAAGACGTGAATGATGTGACTGAGGAATACACAGCTGTTCTCTGGGCCCTTTATTGCTCAGCACTCAGCGTCACAGGCACCTGAATGATTTTCTTTCTATATTCAGTCTTACACCCCCTCTTTTTTTGTGCATGCTACATTTTGTTGGTTTTTTCTTTTCAAAAGTGCCTCCTAATAAAAAGCTCGGCCACTTCATCCTGCGTTGATTAAGTCTTAAAAATGTCAAAAACCAGGCAAATATAGAAACTGTACCAGCTGTAGTGTGACTTAGCCAGTATACAGGGACTGTATAATTAGGTAACAATTTGGTGTCGCAATAACCCCCCTAGTTTGGAGTGTACACATTCATTTTTGATACCCTGATAAAAACGCGTCGTCCTCCTCAGATATTTTATTTTTTAGCAGCGCCTCTCTCCATCGTCTGTATCGTCCTCGGTAGGAATTGTTATGCATGCTTTGTTTTATGGTTTTTTGGTTTTCTGCTGAATGTTTCTGGGATTTTGTTTGTGGACGTTTGAGTGCTTGTGTATACAGCGTGTACGCCGGTTTTGTTTTGTCGCTCTTTCCTCTCAAAGATTCATCATTACTCTGCTCACTATTGCAGTTTTGCCTAATGTATAAAGACAAAATACTGATGTATATTTTTCATGTTATGAAACTTGTCACCTGTAGTGAGTTCTTCTAAAACATGACTTTTTTTCAATATTTATCTGTGTTCTTGAGGTTTGCTTGCTCCGACGTTCACCTATTTTCACAGCGGCCTGAAGTATTAAACAGTGTCCACTAACGATCGCAAACATTTGGACAGATGAGAACTAGATCTTCAGATATTTTTGTACAATATTTCTTAAATATTAGATTTGGGGGATTTGAGTTGTTTTGCAGCCAAAACTACAAAACGATTGGAGCAGTTAAACCGTACACAGATGGACCCAGTGCAACGAAGCGCAGGAGACACTTGATCGTTTCGGCGTGCTGACGTTTGAGGCTCCACGACAATAGCGTGAGCTCCCAGTTTAGCGTACCCTGTGCTGTCCTCTTCACAGGTGAGAGCAGGTCTACTCTGAGTGACAGGTGGGGACGAGTCTGGTGACACTTTGGCGAATGTTATGCTTCCTGCATCATCATCATCATCATCCTCCGACCAGTTTGACAGTGGGTCAATAATGGCGAGCCATTTTCATGAGCAGTTCCACAAACGTGTTAAACAACAGCATGAGTGTTCAAATCTCAGTTTCATATACTTGTCAGATATGATGGTGCAGTGGGTTAGTGGGTCCGTCCTGGTGCAGCACAGACGGCCCACTAGCTCACTGATGCCTTGTTCCAGGTTTGGGAGTTCAATCCTCAAGACGACACCCACTGTGGGATTGTCAGGAGTGTGTATTTCCATGTGGGGACTGTAGAAATGGCTGAGCCACATGAGCCTGCTTAAAGTTAAATTTTTGGTGTGATTTTGTTCTCTGCCAATCACATGCTGCCTATTTTGTTCCAAATCTGATGCGTGCTGTAAGTGTTCCAGTATTTTTCTTCAGCTCTACGTTTTAGCGAAGTGTGTTTCAAACAGGACGTCTCTGAGCTGTGAAATTATCACACAATTTGAATTCTGTGATTTTCTCCCTGTCTGATACGTCTGCCAGCTACAGCTCGATGCTCGCTGTTATGTTGGCAATGCGATAGGTCAGGAAAGCTTCACTTGGAATCACCGGTGACCTGATCAGAGCTTGTTAGTCATAGATCACGATCAATGCGACCTTTGCCTGCGACTATAAAAACTCACCTGGCAATCAGGAGGAAATTTAAATCAAGAGTAACTGCATAAACATTAAGTTAAAGAAACTTGATTTCTTAGTGGATGTATTGAACCATTTGTAATTAAAAATAAGTTATATTTAGCATTTCAAAATACAACTCATGTTAGCTGAGCTGTGTTAAAGCAGGGCTGCATCACTGCTCAATAGATCAGGGTTAGCCAGCAACTTCTAGTTTAAAAAAAGAAAGAAAAACTCATTTTATTCATAAAATATCTGCTTTAGTCAGCCCTGCAGATCTGTGCTAATCCTGCTGCTAGTTTGGTGATGTTTGAGATTAGATTAGAGATGAGATAAAACTTTATTAATCCCTCGGGTGGATTCCTCCGGGAAATTGGGTTTGAAATAGCACAGCACCGACAGAAGTTACAGAATAGCAGAAATATAACATACACACATATATATATATA